GTAGTAAAGAATTCCATAGATTCATTACCTGAGTGAAGAAATTCCTCTTCATCTCTGTCTTAAATGGACAACACCGTACTCTGAGGTTATGCCCTCTGATCCAAGACTCTTCCAAGGAGGAAACAACTTTGCCACAATGAATCTGTAAACCTGCTAAGCAATAAGGGCACTTCTAAACTCCAATGAAAATAAACTCAACCTAGTGAATATCTCCTCATGCAAAAATCTCTCCATGACTGGATCAATCTAGTATATCTTCTTTGGACTGTCTTCAATGATATTCCTTGCTTTAAAGAAGGCCAGTGAAACTATTCCAGGTAAGGTCTGGTTAGTGCTCATATAGTTTTATCAAAACTTCCTATACTTATGTTCTATTCCTTGTGAAATAAAGACCAACATTCCAAATGCCTTGGTTACTAGCAGTGTGTGCACTGTCTCTGTAGTTACTTTCTCTAAAATCCTAGGATATATCCCATAGGTCCGGGGACTTATTGATCTTCAGCGTCATGAGATTCCCTCATACATCTTCTCCAGTGATTGTTATTGTACTTATTTCCTCCTCCATTTTAGCCCCTTGATTATTTATGTCCCCTACTGTGAAAATGGGCTAAAGCATTTATTCAACTCTTCTTCCATTCCCTGGTTCCTGGTTATCATTTCCCCAGCAACATTTCTAAGGGCTATGTTCACTTTTGACTCCATCTTCCTCGTTATATATTTAGTGAACCTCTCCCTATTAATTTTTAAACTTACTTGCTGGCTTGCTCATTTACCTTCATGGTTTAATTTCTCCTTCATTTTTTCTGGTCATTTTTGGTTGGCTTTTAAAACTTTCTCAATCCTCTAATTCACCACGAATCTTTGTCACAATGTATGCTTTTCCTTTTAATTTGATACTAATTTATTACAGTAAAAGTTCAAATCTGTGAAACTTTATCCTTCAGTTCTGTCAGTCAGTCAGTCACTGGAAAATTAAACTCTTCAAAAGCTGTTGATTTTCATGGGGATAACAGACTGCATGGAAATTTTCATCAACATAGCTCAGATGCCAGTTCTCTATACTTTAATGAGCTGGGCATGATTATATAGCCATAATTTCAAAGTTTGTGAATGTTATAGAACTTAAAAATGTAGTAAAAGACTTCAGGAGAACAGGAATAGGTGAAATGGGCAGACACATGGCAAATGTCTTCAGGGTGCATCTTTAGCTGCTTCACAAATGTCTTTCCCTCTATAAAGTCAGAGGTAAGAATACTCGATGATTGCACAATGTTCAGCACCATTCACAACACTTCAGATAATGAAGTATTCCATATCCAAACGCAGCAAATCATGTACAGTATTCAAAATTGGTCTGACCATCTCCAATGAGAGAAGCTAACCGTTGCTCCTTCACATTCAATTTACCATCACTGGAAACCTCCATTACCAATATCCTGGAGGCTACCATTGACAGAAACTGAACTTGATTAGCTTTATAAATACTATGACTACAAGAACAAGTTGTAAACTAGCAATTCTGCATCAAGAAATTCACTTCTAGCTCCCCAAACCTCCACCATCTACAAGACAAGTCAGGGTGTGAGGAGATACTCCCTCTTTGTCTGAATGAGCTCAGCTCCAACAAAATTCAAGAAGCTTGATACCATCCGGAACAAAGCAGTCGCTTGATAAGAGTTATATCCACAAACATTCACTCCTTCTGCCGCTCAGTAGGTGCATATCATTGAGAAGGCACAGTGGATAAATTCAACAAGGCTTCGTTGACAGCATTTCCAAGCTATAACCACTTCCATCTAGAAAGACAAGGGCAGCAGGCATAGGTGCACCACCACCTGCAAGTTCCTTTCCAAACCACATTCAGTCCTAATTTGGAATTATATTTCTTCAGTGTCATTGGGTCAAAATCCTAACACTTTCTCGCTAATGGTATTGTGGTGTACCTACACCAAATGGCCTGCAGCGGTTCAAGAAAGTAGCTCACCAGCACCTTCTCAAGGGCAATTAGGCACGGTCAATAAATACTGATTCAGCCAGTTGCACACACTTCATATAGCTGATTTTTAAAAAATTATGAAGTATGAAATAACACATTTTACTAGGAAATGAGAGGAAAGGCAATACAAATTAAATAATATAATTTTATAAGGATGTAGAAAGAGAGAGGAGGGTGAACATAAAATCTTTGAAAGTGGCAGAAGAGCCAAGAACTCTTTTTAAAAAGCGTATGGGGGCCCTTATCTTTAACAATAAATGGTGTACATGAATAAGCAATAAGTTATGCTGAGCCTTTAAGTCAGATGATGTATTGCACTCACTTTTTAGCATCACACCTTAAAGATGTAAAGTTTTGAAGAGCTCTGTTTCATTAGTGGGAGCATCAGCAGCAAGTTCAACTTTTATTGCTGGTTCCTAATTGCTGTTGAGAAGACTAGCCTCCTTTTTTAAAGCATTGTAGCTCCATCTACTACACGAACACCTACAGCACTGTTAAGAAGGGTTTTCACTCATTGCCAGTTCCAAATCAGGATAGAGTGGTGGTGTTCTCAAAAAAATCCACTTACTTGTTCAACCAGGTGGTAGAGATGGTGGCTTTAGAAGGTGCTTTTAAAAAAAAAAGGAACCATGGCAAGTTGCTGCCGTACATTTTTCAGACAATACAAATTACTGCCACTATCTGCTGATAGTGGAGGAAATGAACATTTAAGGAGGTTTGGGGTATGAATCAAGTAAGTTGTTGTGTTCTTTTGAGCTTCTTCATTGTCTGAAAAACATTCTTCCAAGCATGTGGAGGGTATTCAACACACTCCTGATTTGCACTTTGTGGATGATGAGAGTTTGGGAAATTAGGTGGTGGGATACATGCCATGGAATTCTCAATGTCTGATTTGCTCATGAAGCAGCAGCATTTAAAATGTCAATTTCAATAACTTTTCTGGTCAAATGGTAGGCCCCAGATTGTTAATAGTGGTAGATTCAGAGACAGTAATGCCATAATATTAACGTGAGAAGGTTAGATTTTCTCTTGTTGGTGATAACTGTTGCGTAGCACTGGTGTAGAACAAATGTTAATATAGACTTATGGTCAAAGCCTGAACATTGCTCAACTTTTCCTGCATGCCGATATCAATTGCATCAATTTCTGAAGAGTTGTAAATGATACTGAACCAGTGCAATCAACAGACATGCAAATCTCTGAACTTGTATTGAGGGAAGGTCATTGATGAAGGAGTTGAAGATAGTTTAGCCCAGGACACTACCCAAAAGGTAGTCCCACAGCAATGTTTTCAGCCAGAAATTTTGACTCCTAAAAACCATGTCCATCTTCCTCAGTACTAAATATACCTTCAACTGTGAACATTTGCCCCAATTTTCATATTCTTTGATTTTGCTAGAGTTCCTTGATGCCACACCTGGGTCAAATAAGGCCTTTACCGAGGGAATTCATTGTTAGCTCACTGCTGGAATTCTTTTTGGACCAAGGTTGTAATGATGCCGAAGCAAAGTTGTCCTGGTGGAATGCAAACTAAGCAACAATCATCATGTTATTATTGAATAAATGCTGCATAGTAGCATTTATGGCAATGTTATGACTCCAAGTGATGATAATACTGAACAGGTCAGATCTCAGTGAAACCTGGCTTTACAGCTCAGAAGTTTACTAATCTGCAATTGGTGGTTGGTTACAAACAAAAAGCAAGTTTACTTCACAGAAGAGCTACACAGGACATTTTAGAAGGAACAAAAACAGAAGTGGCTGGAAAAATTCAGTCGGTCTGGTAGCATTTGTGGGGAGAGAGCGTGTTAAGGAGTGCTCTGAGGGTCACCAGACCTGAAGCGTGAATTCTGATTTCTCTCCATAGATGTTGCCAGACCTGCAGTTTTTCCAGCCATTTCTGTTTTTGTTGTTAATCATGAATTCACCAGTTTCTTCAGAACTGAAGGAGCTTGGAAAAATGATAGTTACGTTGTTTGGGGGTGGGAAAGACATTAGAGAAGCTAACCAAGTAGTAAAAGAGTGCTAAAAAAAAATGTCCAGAGCACATGAAAATGGGAATGCCGATGGTAGTAGAGATAGATGTTAATATACGAAAATAGGTCAAACTTGCTGAGAGTAAACCCATACTAACAAGACAAAAACAGATGACGCTGGTGAAACTCAGCAGGTCTGGCAGCATCTGAGGGAGTTAAAATTGAGCCCAGTGACTCTTCATCAGAACGGATATGCTAAAGATACTGGAGAGAAGAGTTGTAACAAAATTAGTTTAGTGTTTGGTCTTGTATACAATTTGATGTTTTAAAATAAATTAACTAGCATAGCAGGTAAGATTCTCAGACTGCAAAAGGAGCTTACAAGAACGAACGTTTACAGAACAACCACACAGACATAACATTTAAAAGCAGGATTCGCAAAATTCACAGCACTCTGATGTTTCTGTTTTCTCCGCATTTGACCAATTAGTTGCGTCATCTCTCTCTCTTGCTGAACATTACTACTCCCCTTCCCCCAGCCTTTGATTTCACCAAAATGAATTCACAACATCCAGTTAAACCAAAAAAAACCTGTAGATAGCGGAAATGAAAACACAAACAAACATAGCTGCAAACCGAAAAGGGTTCACTGAACCCAAAACGTTAGCCCTGTTTTTCTTCTCTCCACATATACCACCAAACCTGCTGAGTTTCTCCAGCAATTTCTGTTTTTGTTTCACAACATCCAGCTTTCCCCACTTAGCACCCCTCCTCCTACTCTCAGGCCTTAGCCGCTTCACCACCATTAGGGCGGGAGGAAACATCACTCGTTGTGATTGGACATTCCTATCACGGTCCCTTACCGGGACGCGCCCCTCCGATTGGTCTGTCGCTGGGTGAAGGCGTGGCTTGGTCGGAAGGTCGTTTGATTCGGGAGGGGCGGGGTTGTTGGATGATTGACGGACGTGGCGCAGAGGGTGTTGGGATTGTCAAAACAAGCCGCATCCGATTTGACCTGTACAGGCGGAGGCGCCATCTTGGAAAGTAGGGCTTGTTGCTGTTATTTCCCGCCGAGATCTACACATACAGAACGTATTTTTAGACTAAAGTGAATAGTTTCTGTCACCGCTCTCTTTTTTTTCTCCACTTTGTTCACAACAATACTTTCTTTTCGTTTCAATAACTACGCATAATAGATATATGAAGCTGTTGGGTACGTATCGCTATAATTTTTCTTTCTATATATTGTTTCAGAGATAAGGAAGAAGGGAGTTTGTATTGCGGCCCGGCCCTGTTACTGTGTGTCTTACCTTCTGTGACTGGCAAAGTAGAGGAGGTTGTTGTTATCTCATCAGTGTTCCCCACCCCTCCCGCTCTTCTATTGGGGAAACCTAATAGGCGAGCTCTCTTATAAATCGTGTTAATTGATTTTTCTTAAAGTACCTATTCGAGCTGCTTTTTAATACATTTCTTAGAAAATGACATTGATTCATTTGCGTTGTTTTCAGAAGGAATGTTGAGATTGTCAAGATATGCCTTGTGACAGTCGCACGGGCTTAACACTATATAAAATTTACATCTGAACAATTAATTTAATAACTATCTTTAATTGTGTAGCCGTGTTTTTTTAATACTTTTCAAGTTATAACCAATTGAAATGGAAGATCTTTTTTGTTTTCTGGAATAACTAATCTTGCACTTAGGAAACCTTTAACCTTTCAAGTGTGCGTGGTGATGTGAAATGCAGTTTGTAGGATATTCGGCTATAAAGTTATACAGCATGGAAACAGAGCCTGCGGTCTAATTTGTCAGACATCCCAATCAGCCCTAGTCCCATTTGCCAACATTTGGCCTATATCCCTCTAAACCCTTCCTATTCGTGTACCCATTCAGATGCCTGTTAAATGTTGTAATTTTACCAGCCTCCACTACTTCCTCTGGCAGCTCATTCCATATACGCACCACCCTCTGCGTGAAAAAGTTGCCTCTCAGGTCCTTTTTAAATCTTTCCCCTCTCACCTTAAATCTATGCCCTCTAGTTTGGAACTTTATCCATCCTAGGAAAAGAGTGTGGCTATTCACTCTGTCCATGCCCCTCATGATTTTATAAACCTCTATAAGGTCACCCCTCAGCATCTGACGCTCCAGGGAAAAAGAAAGCCCTAGCCTTTTCAGTGTCCCCCTATGACTCAAACCCTGCAGTCCAGGCAACGTCTTTGTAAATTTTTTCTGCACTCTCTCAGCATTAATGACATGTTTCCTATAGAAGGGCAACTAGAATTGTAATTGTAAAAATGGCTTCACCAATGTCCTGTACAACAGCAACATGACATCTCAACTCTTATACTCAATGTTCTGGCCAGTGAAGGCTAGCATGTCAAATGTCATCTTCACCGTCCTGTCTATTTTCAAGGAACTATGCACCTGCACCACTAGATCTCTTTGTTTGGCGACACAGCCCAGGACACTACCATTTAGTGTCTAAGTCCTGCCCTGATTTGCCTTACCAAAATGCAACACCTCACGTTTATCTAAATTAAACTCCATCTGCCATTTCTCGGCCCATTTATGAGTTGATTTAGATTTGCTTTGTTGTGTTGCTCTATTTAAACTTGCAGTTTGGAATTTTGAATGGAGAAAGGTTACTGGACTCAAGATGTTAACTCTGCTTCTTTCTCTGCAGATGCTGCCAGACATGCTGAGTTTCTATAGCACTTTTTGTTTGTGCTTGTAGTGCATGTTCACTAGACAGCATTATGCAATTTCATCTCTTAAAACTCAACCTTCTATACTTAACTGGTAACTTATTCAAAACTAAACATAGATTAGGAATATATAATTAAATTGACATTATCTCATTGGCAAAAATAAAATCTGAGACCCATCGTAATTTTGTGGTAGAACATCTTAGAGACATTCATTGGGTGTGATGCAAGTTTCCGATTGTAGTGAAAATCTTCTGGGGAAATGAATTAATAATGAAGTAAATGCTTAAATTCAATAGATTTAAAATGAGATATACTGTCGATTTAGACTGTTTTGTGCCATATTTATGTTTATAAAATTCAGTATCACGTTCCCAGTGAAGATTAGCCAGCGCCAAAGCAGTTCTGACAGCCTACGGAGACCCAGCCATAATGATGTGGTCTCTTTATGTCACATGTTGGGTCTGATATGAATCATAACATGGTTACCGTATAGAAGGAGACCATTTGTCCTGTCAAGTCTGTGCCAGTTTGCAAATTCGTTTTAGCTAGTCCCACATCTTGACCCTTCCACTGTAACATTATTTTTCTTTCCTCTATAGGTGCTTATCCAGTTCCTTTTTGAAAACCAATATTGAATCTGTCTCCTCCACCCTGTCACATAGTGCATTCCAGGTCAATTTTCAAAAAAAAAGTTTTTCCTCATTAATGTAGTCCTGGTTTAGAACCCATTGTTTTGGACTGTGTTTTCATTAGTTTATTGAGTTTGACTTTTCTACACCCCTGATTCATTCCTTTTGCCATAAGTCATATGTCAGATTTGTTGAGGGTTAAAATTCATCTGTTAAACTTTTAATCTGCGAGCAGAATGTAGGAATTATGTGATGTGTTCTTTTAAAGTCTGAGTGCTCACAATAATCTGACAAGGCATAACAAAACTAGAATATATCTTATTAGCATTATTGGGAGAGGTATTGCAAGGGGATCTGACTTGAGCAAACCTTTTAATTGCACTGCTATAAAAGCTGTCTATGACAGGTGAAGCATTGGATCTTGCATCACAGTTAACCTTTAAGATCTCTTGCAACTTTTTGCCTCAACTTGTTTAAAGCATTATGTTAGAGCAGATTTCTACAAAATTTGACAAGGAAAGAGTAACCTGTGAACTTGTGGTTTTAATTTCAGCTATGAATTCAATTGCCCACCCCTTGTGGTTTATTTGCAGCAGTGAAATGCAAGTTTGTTTTCTTAAAGTATTCTGCACTTAATTGTTCCTAGAACAACACTTAAACCCATAAAATCAGGTTACAATTTTCAATTGTTCACCCACAACTATTTCATGTGAAAAGTTGGTTTTCATCTGGTATAGCATTCTGATTCTTCTGTTCTGACCAATTGTAGTAAACAAAGCTTCCGTCTCCAAACTGTGATTTGGATGAAAGCAAACTCACTGACCTTTGGACTTGCAACTTTATTGTTGAAAATCACTACACGTCATAACTCAGTTCCAACAGAGCTTCTAGACAAACTAAAAAAAGATGTTTTTTTAAAAAAAGCAAAATACTTTAGCTGTTGGAAGTCTGAAATAAAACAGAAAATGTTGGAAAAACTCAGACACAGCAGACTCTGGAGAGAGAAACAGAGTTAACATTTGAGTTCAAAGATACTTATGTGGAACCAGTTCTGAAGAAGAGTCTTTGGTCTTGAAACATTAACTCTGTTTCTGTCTCCACAGATGTTGCTGAGTTTTGCCAACATTTTCAGTTTTTATTTCAGATTTTTCGAAATGTCTTGCTGAATTTCTATATTTGAACGTAATAAGAGAGACTTTTCAAGAATGTAACTTATTGTTTAAAGAGTTGTTTATAATATTGTACAGTATCTTGCTACTCATACACATCATGAATGCTATATTCAACAAATTACTTTAGGACCATTTGAATTCTAATGTGAGCAAACACATTTAAAATTGGTTGTTTGGATTTCCAAACCTTTGGATTAGTTTGTTTTTTATATAATTTAATATTTAATTGAAATAGCTTTCTAGCTACTGAAGTCCAACAACAGTACAAATGGAATTCAATCTATATAAATGTGAGGTGATGCACTTGGGCAGGACAGAGGGCATACATGAGAATGGTAGGTTACTGGGAAGCACCAAAAGATCAGAGGGACCCTGGTCTACATGTTTGTTGGTCCCTTATGGTAGAGGGACCAGTAGATAAAGCACTTAAGGCAGCATATGGGGGAACTTGCCTTCATATGCTAGAACTGTACTAAACTTTGATTAAGTCATAGTTAGAGTATTTTGTGCAGTTCTGGAATTCCCATTATAGGAGGGATCTGATTGTACTGGAGATGGTAGAGAGGAGATTTATGAAAATGTAGTCTGGCCTGGAGAGTTTGTTATGAAGAGAGATTGGATAGATTGGGATTGTTTTCCTTGGAACAGAAGAAACTGAGCGCAGACATGATTGAGATGTATAAATTTATGATGGGAACTTTTCCTCTTGGTGGAGAAATCAACGAGTTGGGCACAGATTTAAGGCAAGAGGTTTAGAGGGGATGTAGGGGTGAGGGAAATCAGTGTAGTGAGAAACTGGAACTCAGTACAATGTCAAGTGCTAGAAAATAGGATTACAACCTTTCAGGTGCTTGTTCTGAGCCAGCACAGACTTGATTGGCCAAGGGGCTTTTTTGAGCTGTAGACCTTTATGACTGTATATACTGATCACAGTCATGAATATGCCATTCTATTTATGCTTGCCTGATTTGCAGCTTCTTCCTGGATTATTATAATATCCAAATCAAAGCTAATGATACTTAACATTCAGAAACATTGGTTGTCAAAATATGAATCCAAAAATTTTGACTTTACTTCAATGTGGAGGGCAAAGTTGAAAGGGGAGGAGAGTATTTGAGGTTGTTTTATTTTATTCCTGTTTCCTTTCCCTTCCCCAAAACCTTTAATTCCATGCTAAGATGGTTAGAAACGTAGGGAACGTAGCAGCATAAGGAGACCTTTCAACCCGTCGACTCTGACTGATCGAACACTTCCATGCATTTTACTCATAGTATTATTATAACCCTTTACGCCATTGATAAACAAAAATTTATCAACTTCTGTTATATATACTCCAAGCCTGAGTTTCCATAGCCTTCTAGGATAGAGAATTCCAAAGATTTACCACCCTCTGAGTAAAAACATATCACCTCATCCAGATCCTAAATGGCATCATCCTTGTTATCAAAGAGTATCTCCTGTTGGAGACTTCCAAGCGACGGGTAACATTTTATCCGCACTAACCTTGTCTATCTCTACGTATTTTTAGTCTTTCATGAGATCACCTCTCATTCTTCAAAACTCTAGAGACTTGCAGGCTCAATTTAGTCCCACCATTGTCATATGAGAGATTGGACAGTGTGTTATGATTGAATATGAATATTAATGCTAAGGACAGTAAAAATATTCTAATCAGCCTGATCAGTGATATTATTACACACCTCC